AGCTATTTTCTGCTATCGTTATCAAAAGAAGCTAAATGAACCTAAAAAAGAGTATGTTAATAAATTGTGTAACAATAGTAGGATAATACAGTATATGAAAATTTGCTCTGATAATTCGTCTGTGCAAATTGTCAGTTATGTGACTTTGACTTAATCTCATTGTTTAAATTAATAAAGGTAATGTTAATTAATAATTTGGGTGTATGTTTCTCTGGTCTACTTCAGATTTTAGCATAGGTAACCATTTATGACTTAAATTAAATGAACATGAAGCAACACAATTATTTTGATTTAGTCAAATTAGTGCGCTTTCTTTAATTTTACGTTTTTTTGTGGATTGTTCTATTGTTAAAATTGTGGAATTATTCCATTGAATTTTATGGCAATTATCAAATGCATGTTGACAAAAGTGTGATTTATGATATTCTCTGTTTTTTATGTATGATTGGTATTCTTTGAGTTTTGTGTAATGGTCTTGAGTTTTCTCCTATATAAAATTTATTGCATTCGCAAGGAATTTTATAAATTACATTTTTTGTATTTTCAATTATATCTTGAGGTTTTGTTACTGAAATTTTACTTCTAATTGTATTTTCAGTTTTGAAGATAGTCCTAATGTTAAAGTTTTTACCTACTTGTTTAATTTGATCTGAAAGTCCAGGAATAAATGGAATGAAAAGGTTCGTAATAGGTTTATTTTGATTTTGTTTTGTGCGTGGGAATTCAATTTCGTTAAAACGTTTTTCAATAAAAGAATTTGGATAATTATTGAAATTTAGAATTTCTTTTATAAATTGTTTTTCTTATTTAAGAATAACTTGCGCTACTAAACAAAGAAATGCGGCTCAATAAACGATCCGAAACGCAAGAATCTTGAAGTTCGGCCCTGCCTAGCCGAACAAAGTCCGACGCCAACTACTACCAGCATTTCACACATGTCACGCAACGCCTCACTGTGATTGGTGGGAATTTCCTTTCTGGGCGCCACAGCCAATCAAACGTAGCGTTCGCAAGCAGCTGATCGGTGTGTCCTTACTATTGGCACGTCAAAAGTGAGTTGGAAGATTGAACGTCAGCTTGTTTTTGAGGTTTACTTTCAGTTTTTCTCGTTATTTTTCTTCGCCCACGCTGAAAATCATGTCAGGACAATGGGAAATCGTCAAAGCGAAAAATGACAGACGCAGCAAAGTCCCAGTACCGAAAGCGAACAACAAACAGCCGGATGGCAAAGCGAAAAAGACGAACATTTTGAATGGAATTCAGCTGGAGGATGTTTGTGAGTAGAAATAAGGCGAATTTCTAGTCAAATATTGAGACATTGCTGGTATTCCAGTGCCAAAATCCCAAATGCAAAACCTCTACTCAGTGAAAACGAGCGCGTCCAAAGACACAAAGCCCGCGGCAAAGACCAAGCAAAAAGGGGAGAAAAAGCCGAATAAATCGTCCCCTGAGCCCCCGAAGCCCAAACTGCCCAAGTCCATTGAAGCCGCGCTGCTTGCAGTAAGTCCGCCCCGGTGGGCCCCAAATTGAGTCCTCATTCCCTCTAATTATTCTAGATTAGCCCTGAGCAGTTCAGCATAGAGTATGAGGAGTCCAAGCGCTCATTTCCAGACGCCCCGATCATTTGGCTCAAGCAACTCACCCATTTTCTCAACCAAAAGATCCCTCTGGATGTGAAGAATCCAGTTTTCTCCAATAAACCCAGCGGGTTTCCTTTGAATGTGGCAAGTATAAATGTTACCTGCTAAGAAAGCAGTAAACTCATGGATGTTTTCCAGATGCCTTCAGCATTGAGGGCAACGATCGAGAAAGCTGTAACGGCAGCGGGAAAAAGCAACGCCCAGCTCTACTTCAACATAGCGCTCACCTCACTGGTGACTGACCTGAGCAAAGGATTGGCCACCATGGGTTATCGCTTTTTCCTGCAATACATCGCCCTAAACGAGCCGAAACTCGTAACGGAAACACTGGCAAAGTGCGTGGCACTGCGAAACTCCTACCAAAACCGTTCTAACATTGCCTTGTCCATCCTCTGGGCTGTTGGACATGTAGGCGTGCATGATTTGCAGTCTGGCCTCAAAGGTATCCTCCCGCTCCATGCCAAAGATCCTTAAACCTAGTAGAATGTTTGCAGTTTTTGAGGAACTGATGCTGCCCCTGTTGGACATGAAAAGCTATACGCATTACGTAGTGCAGTATCTAGTGGAATTGACGAGCCGCAGCTACAAAACGCCCCTAACCAAAGAACAGTGCTTCCTGATTCTGAGTGTGGTTCACTCAAAAGCCAAACATTTCCCTGCCGATCTGCAGAAGAAGCTTGTGGAGAATCTGCCCACAGTCAGAGACTGGGTGATGAACAACAGTGGCTCAAACCTGAAAAGCTGGGTGGAACCGTTTCTGAAGAAAATCGCCTCGACACCCAACCAGGCATATCAAAATTCGCTTTGTTATATTCTTATGGCAATTTTTGTGAACAACGATACCACTTTAAACGAGTGGCTTCGGCTGTATAGTAAAAACCTGCCGGCCAGCACCGTGTTATTCGACTATATACGTAAGTGGCAAAAAGCCTCAATCGATCATCAGACTCAATGGCTTTTGTTTTTTCCAGCTGACAATTACGACTCACTTCCTCCACCGCTTAAAGAGAACTTGATCACTTTGTTGCACGACTGCGAGCGAATTAATCGGGAATTGGCTTTGAAGAGCCGCAAAGACGATGGACTCAAGGAGGCCATTCGTGCTATGAAGGTAAGAATTGTGGTCATTGAAAGCTATTTATTAAATGTCTTCCGGAGAAGATTGTGTGTTTGGCAAATTTCTATTAAAAATCATAAAGATTGAAAAAAAAATTGATTCATAAAGCTTCGTCCACGGGCGGATCCAGCTTTAAAGGCAGGGGGGGGGGGGTTATGTATGTAGAAAAAATACAGTCTTCTGTTATCTATAAAATTAGAAAAATGATAGTCGTTTTGTGCAACAGTGGCGCAAGATTATTGCAAAATTTCATGTTTTCCGTCCCGTTTTGCATGTTTCTCGGAAGCAAAATGAGCAAGAACGCTCGTTTTTACATCGTTCCAGAGATAAC